AGTGGTTGTAGCTCTTCAAGAAAGCAAAGCCAAAACGGACATGACAAACTTTACAGAGGAATAAGGATGAGAAAGTGGGGAAAGTGGGTGGCTGAAATAAGAGAGCCCAACAAGAGATCAACAATTTGGCTTGGCTCTTATTCTTCTCCTGTGGCCGCCGCTAGAGCCTACCATACGGCCGTGTTCTACCTCCGCGGCCCGACCGCCAGGCTTAACTTTCCTGAGTGCATAGTGAAAGATGACGTTGATCAGCCCCACGGCCTGTCCGCTGCTTTCATTAAAAAGAAGGCTACTGACGTTGGTGCAAGGGTTGATGCAGCTCTCCATGCATCCACTTTCGAATCTAATTCGATCCAATTTTATGAACATTCCGACTTGAATGAATATCCAAGTCCTGAGATTTCAGAGGATAATTGATTATTTTTCCTTATTTTCACTTGCTTTTGCAAACAATTGCCTTGGCCTTATCACTACAACCTTCTTTGTAAGGATTCACCCTTCTCTTGAAGTTATGGGATTATTTTATCGGGCTTAATATTCTCTACATATCCACATGTATCAGTTCTGAGCTTAATTAATCTATTGTTTAATTTCGCTCTTAAATACTTCTTGAAAATATTAATATTTAGTCTTATGTACAACTACAAGTCATCATAATTTCTGTATTCTTAACTTTCTACTGTTCCATTAATTAATGTGGATAATTTGAGAACGAAGAAAGTGGCCATAGATTGATATGACAAAACACCTAAGAAGATAGGACCCTGCTTGGTTACCAGGGAAAAATCTGTACCAGGGCATATGTGGCCCCGGTAAAGGGGCTTTATCCAAGAAGATAAGTTTATGTTGGGTCTACATAATCAACAGAATTGATTTTGATAGTAAAAGTAAGATAATATTCTATCTTTTATGTACTTTGTATCAAATGTGCAATTAATAATCCCTAATCAATGGCAATGACAACCATTTTTTGTGGGTTTGTGTGACATTTAAAATAAGATAATATTTTATCTTTTACATACTTTGTATAAAATATGCAATTAATAATCCCTAATCAATGGCAATGGCAATGAGAACCATTTTTTGTGTGTTTGCGTGAGACAGAGCAATTTTGTAATATTATTTATGGGCAAGAGTCGCTAGTTATATTCACATAAGTCGTATATGTATATTCACTTTTAAAATGAAAATTTTATTATATTTTTAATCTTATATAAATTTATTTAAATAGACATATAAAATTAAGTAAAATATATGACTCTAAATTCATCCACTACTATTTATTTTCAATAAATTCCTTTGAACTTTTTTGTCTCTCAACTAATCCTTCTGCAGTTTTTCCTTT